GATCATTCCTGTAGAAAAACATAGCAGTCGATTTTTGAAAGATGTCAACAAACCTTAGATACTCTGGACATCGGCTTAGATGTGCGCTGGGCTAGGTAAGAGGTGAATATCATGTTCGAAGGAATATCATTTGATGTAAGTTCATCCAAAAACGTTGCGATTGCCTGAGTTGGAAGAATAAAACGAAGAAAGTACATTGCTTGAGGAACACCATCTGGCTGCTATTACGACGTAAATGAGAATTTGAGGAAAAATTTCATTTACTTTCTCAAGAATACCCAAAGCATCAGTAGCAGTTGTTGAGAGGACATGGACACTTTCCTGGTAACCAGTTCGGATAGAAGGTGGAGACTTTTGTCCAGTACACGACCTTATACTTGCGTGAGCATATGCCTCCGCCATAGCAATCGTATTCCTAAGTAAACACATTATGGATAATACATGAAAGTGGATATGGAGAGACTTGCTGTAGTGAGAATAGCAAACCGTACCAGCAGATTCATCTGCGAAGATGGTGGTGCAAACTCACCATGATGCCCAACGTTAACTGCTCGCCTCTTGCGACTAGTGATCTAAACAAACAATTTCTCTCACGGTAAGAATATGACTCTTCGATCGTCGTCTATTGTTTACAAAAATCTTAGACATCGACACGCAATCCTTTAGTATTTGGATAAGGAAGCACCTAAAGTTGTTGTGCGTTCCCAACGCTGTCTCTTCAAACTCAGAGCTGCACGCTTTACTTGAGCAGTCTGTGCTCTTTCTTTCAATTGTCGTAGTTTTACGTATATCATTTACACATAGACCAGATTCGCAACAGGCCGGCATGATGCAGTGCAGTCGCCGTCTTTTACGCATGGGCTTGCAGGTTGTGTAAACTGATGTGCCAGTTTCTACGTCACTAAAATCACGCTTCAAAGAATCATAGATTTTTTAGAAGTGCTTAGCGCAATTCACTTACGGTTGAGAGAAGAAACATGCAACTGCAGTACGTACAGGACAAACAGCATGTGAACAGCCGACAGCAGTTGTCGTTGCAAGAATTTACTAAAAAACATTCTGTGATAGAGTTGCTCTTCATGAACGCTTGGCTGGTGTACTAACGTTAGCAAAACTAAGCAATTTTGGATCTTCGTTGTAGACAGTGCTAGATTTCGGCCACTGATAGAGTTCATTAGTCCAGTAAGAAATGGCTCATGTGATATCACTGTATGTCTCTAACATTGGAACAGGGCTAAATTTTCAATCACAAAATGAGAGAATGAAAGCACGAAGAAGATTGAAACGACATCAACAAAATACTGTCTCTAAGCTTACGAGAGATAATTCATGCCATTTGTCGCAGATGCTGGAGGTGGATTTTTGGGGCAGTTGAGCACAGCTGTTTCAGCCATCGCCTCCAGGTTGCAGTCCCATCTCTGCAACATTGAAATTTCGACATGTGCATTATATGTTAAAATATAATATACGAGAAAAACGCTGCTTGTAGGCATCTGTAAATTTTCAAACCTTTTTTTCACTTGCGTGTATATTTGAATGGATCTTCTTGACCATTAGTGAGGGCCCCAATCTGATGGATTCTCGTTTCTTCCTCACAGTTGTCGTCCATTGTGGTGACCTGTTTCACAAACGATCTAGTACGCAAGGCCTATCCATAATTTTGAACTTATTGCCTTCCGCGTAATTATGTGATTGACATTACCAAAATATCTCCTGGCATTTAAGTGGTATTTGAAGAAGATTTTTGTATACACTCCATTGTCTGCTTCGCTCATTTGTCATCTATTCGCTTTGCCACGTGAACATTCCATCTGTGTTTTACTATAGAGGATATGGTTCTGGATTCCGAATATGAATTGACTTCCAGTGACCTAAAATGTGCAGCAGGCTAGATGATGTGGGTACCGATTGGATTCAGGAGACCTTATGCATATGCTATCTAGATGGTGGATAAAATAACTGACGTTGATAAAGTAATAACTCACGTCTTTGCTGAATTGCAAAGCACTATGTCAACATTCTTTCTGTAAAGACACAGACTCATTGAGCTAAAATAGGACAAAATTCACCAGTCTGTTCATATCCCTGGTAGGTGGCAAGGGAGACTGCCCCAACGCAATGTCACTGCCTACTAGGTTAACAACATGGAGAACTTCCTGTCTGATATCATCGCTCATTGTCATATCAGAGCATGAAAATGCTAAAATAGACAAGCACTGTATAATTTTAATTAAGATAATGCAACTTATCTCTTTGTCCAAAACAAATGGCCATTGATATTTTACTGTGACAAGGAACAGTAGATAACAAAATTAACACATTTACGTCTTTCAAATCTGCCACTGGATAGACTGGATTGAAACAGCTGGAATCAAATTGCTTAGCCATGAAAATATCAACAATAAGATGTTTAAACACTTTCTAACCGCTCCATAAAATGCCAATAGGGCTATTCGGAACATTGTCAGAGGTATTGCGGTCGATGTCCAAGGGTTGGAAATTGTTTGTTTCGATTGTTTGTGACGTTGAACTTTTGAAATATTCGAATTTAGTCCTTTAGTAGTGGTTACAGCGGGATATTTCCAGTGTAGAGTCTGAGCCGAGTCAATAACCTGTGCCTGCTGTTTCTCATTTGAAACGCAATGGCTTCGAGATAAAACAACACTTAACAAGTGACAATGTTTTGCCACACTTGTATTATTCGATCAGAAGAATGTGGTGGTTTTAAAGTAGCTCCTATTTCAGTTATCCTTGATTATCCTCGGAGAAAACAGACTTGTTTCTACTATTCTTAGCTTTTACTGAAGTTTTCTCCATTATATTTTACCGTTTACTGATGGCAAAAGCCACATACTCACGAGAAAAGGCCAAATTTCATTAGACGACTACCACAATTCAAAAGTTCGACTCTCTATGAACCTCGACATAATTCGGCTATAGCGGAACTTCTACGACTAATTTACCAACCTCGCGTCAGCTAATCAAGATAAGTTTTCTCTATTTTCATATGACTACCACAGTGATAACGAACCGCCGCCCAAGATTTAAACGTCGTTGTCAAGCCGCTAAATCGCCTCATATATAAAGATATAAATACAGCTTGCACTCAGAATGCTTCGAAATTTGATACACTTATGCAATTCAAATCCATTGCTGGAGTCATTAGGATGAAATTGCCGCATTTATTGCAAGAAGATCTGTCAAAATTTCAAATGAGAAATAAAGCAGGTATTGATCATCCGTCCTATAAAGCACCACCAGTGTAGAATGGGACATTTCCAGAAGTAGATACGCCGAGGAAAACGTTCCATATGTGACTTTTTAGATCTATGTAATGTTGTACATTTTCATTTTACTTTGTGACTTTATACCTCATAATCATTATTTGAGCCAACAGACCAGTTATGGGCCCTGCCCTCCAGATGAGGCTGAAAGGCCAGAACACGTGTATCGGTTTGTAGAAGGAAGAGGCCATAACAGACCGTATGACATGTCTGCTCAAATAATAATTATGAGATCTACCAAAATAGCATAATCTTGATAAAACACTCGAAATCAGCGGTACAATATTGTGACTTTATTTGATCCGTTTCACTTATTTTCATTGTGCAGATCCAAATACTCTTAGCACTTATTTCATTAATCGCGCTTTTCTTCGAAGTCAAAGAATACTGGTTGGCACGCCTATCTGCAATATCGATAATGACCTGGTCGTGAAGTTCCATAGGGCTTTCGTTGTTGACTGCTGGAACGTGGTGGTGGGTAAAGATTAGCTTCACGCCACGACGAGTACCACAACTACTCAGCACTTATCCATTGGATTCTTTCCCGTATTTAGTATAAATGCGGTACGATTTTGACCAAAATAAGAAAATTAACGAGTCAAAAAATACTTAAGTTTCGTACTTTGTAGTAGTTGATTAGAACGAACGTGAATTGTTTATAGTGTAGAACGAGTTAACGTTAAATGTTTGATGCAGTAAACAGTCATTTATGAGATTTTTCTCCCACATTTGCAATCACTGCCGTAGGAAATATTATAAGATATCCATAATAAACGGACTAATTGGTGGAAAGACTGATTTAGCGCTTTGTATATCTTACTGCTGTTTCTGATGATAACACTTGTGTAGATATCTGAAGCCTTGATGCTGTTTAACCGCACTTGCTTATGAGTATTAGAAAGCTTGTTTAACGACGTTGATAAATCACTCAGTCTAACTTGATTCTTTCAACATGAACGCGATCATTGTTAAAAAGTGATGTTTCTGGATTGCTAAAAACCTATCGAAGATTTTCGCATAGACAGTTCTTTCGTGGAGCTTGATTATCTTCGTCTATTGATTTCGAAACAAACATCAGCAACCAAAATAGAGATAATATTTCTCAAGCAGGCATTCGGAAGCTGTAGAATGAGCGACATCGTCATAAAATTGTTCCTTAGTCAATTCAATTTGATCATTTCATTTTGTGCATCCTCTTCATGATTGAACGCATGAAGCTTTTCGAAATGCGGTGCCTGTATGAATGACATGGCAAAGTTCAAGTAGGACACAGAATCTTTCGCTTCAAGTGTTTTCTTAAGACCAATCACAAATTTCAGTATGTTTGAGATCCCGATGTGTGAGGGCTGCCCAGACAAAAGGCAGTGTGCAACTGGAGGTTGCAAGGCCGAAACACTTGCGTTGCGCTGCATAAGTGCCTATAACAGACCACATGAAGGCTCAGAAATATTTATCAAAGGCAAAAAATCAGAAAAGGTCATTACATTAGTATATCCATAACGCCCAGATCACAGAATTGAAAAAAATGGTTCAAGTCCTACCTACAAAAAAACCAGTTGCATTCCTTGGAACGCAGGTACGGATTTGTATACTGGAATAGTATGGTTATATTAGGTCCACAACTAAGCTTCCTAACTTTTAAAAATTCAAAAATTTTTCTCCAAGTAATCGAAAGTACCAAGTAACCTAAGAGAATTGAGTGGTGAGCAAGAGCATGGCCTCAGCCGGGAGTCGAACCCGCGTTTCATCCATGCCGGAGACGCGTGCTACTACTACTGCACTACAGAGGCACATTTGCTCTACTAATCATTATTCAACATCTCTATGTTAGCTATCAGCCACCAACCTTCAACAGGTTTGGTCCAGTATGCGATTTCGCTTTATAAACCCAGTTAAGCTGACAGCCACTGTTAGATGTGCACGGAAACCCTAGTGCTCTTACTGTTTTTTTTTTCGCAGTGTTATGATGTTATATATGAACCTACGAGAGCCTGTTAACCGACCAAGCCTGTCAAAGGAGCCAACATAGAGATATTGGAGAATGAGTGGTGTGCAAATGTGCCTCGGTGGTGTAGTGGTAGTAGCACGTATCTCCAGTCTTAATGAAACGCGGGTACAATTTCCGCCTGAAGCTATGCTTTTTTTTGCTCATCACAAATTCTCTTAGATTTATATGTAATATCATATGACTGCAAAAAAAGCAATAAAGGTACTAGAATTTCGGGTTACCAAATAACATTACATTATGGCTTTTCCATTCGGCAGGTCATGGCTCTCTTAAAAGTGTGCCTAAGCTGCTCATTCTTTAGAAGGTCTGGGAATTATTTTGCGCGGATCAGAGGGCTGGCAATGGGACAACGACTAGCTCCTACCCTTGCTATCGTTTTTATGTCTAAAGTAGAGGCCCCAATAATCGATCTCCGGCAGTTACTTTACTGTAGGTATATAGATGATTGTTTTGTCGTCTGCTCAAGGCAAGAGGAGATGGACAAATGTTTTGAGTTGTTAAATAGTCAGTCAGAGTACATAACATTCACCCGTGAAAAACCTAAGGCAAATTGGCTTCCATTTTAAAACGTTCAAGGTCACCTCTGCAAAAACTCCTACAACACAAAATGGTATCGCAAACCAAGCAACAAAAACATCCCGGTTCACTACCTATCTGCTCATCCCTCGCACACAAAATGCGCACTTATAAAAAACATGTTTCGAACAGCTGCTAATGTGTGCACAGGAAAAGAACACAAGGTAGAGTCCCTGAGCTCGGAGCGAAAAAAGAGCCATCTCTAATGGGTACAACGCGAAAGGAGCTTCTCTGGTTAAATTTAGAGGAAATTCAGCGCCCCTATACGAAGGTCTGGCGAGGATAAAGTTCCATTCATCTTGCCTTTTATTTCCAACGAAGTGAGTGCAGCCATTAAACGCTGCTTAAAAAGAGCAGGTTTAGATAATTCGGTAGCAGTAGTCGAGATACCACCAAAAACACTAAAACGCTGATTAGTCCGCAACGACTGTATGATCGTCTCTGCGAAACCAATGACTGCAAAGTTTGCCCAAACGGCAGAGACGACGACTGCATGAGGTCGGTACAATTTACCTAATCTCTTGCGAGGCATGCGGGGACGAATATATTGGAGAAACAAGTAAACCACTCTGCATCCGCGTAAAAAGAACACCTAGATGGGAAACGAAACTCCGACCCAAAAACCCCACTAGGCACGCATAAGGAACAGAAGCATAAAGGAAGCAGATTATGACGTTGAATTCACGGTCCTTGCACAGGAATCGAAAGCAACTACGCGTAAAACTTTGGAAGCCTTCTGGATACATAGCAAAGGCCCAAAAATAATCCGCAAAGAGGAATGCCTCGTAAAACGCGTGACCTAGCACCATATCTCGGGCTAATATTCCGGCCTGAGCCAGGCACAGTCTCACATTAGCACAGACTGAAAGTGGCAGGTCTTCAATGATTAATTGAGAGACCTAAAACATCTAAGCGGTAAGTGTTTTTGAAATGAAGTTTTTTCTATGCGACCCGAAAATTTATCTCTTACGTTTTCTGCTGGGGTTATAAAGGCTTTTGGTTTAATAATTCGCGAATCAATTTGACCTTTTCAGGCTCTGAAGAGGGCGAACCTTGCCGAAACGTAAGCCACCACGACTGTTGTAATATTCATGCTGCATTACTAACTGTATTGTCATATGCTTCGCTGATATTCAATAAATAATATCAATAACACCTAGGAGCGGCTAAGCAGAAGAAGATATTCATTTCTTCAAACTATGCCCTGGTTAATAGATAGTCGGTACTGGGATTTACTCCAAATAACATTACTTGAAGTATTCTCCGCCTACCTGGATACAATTCTGCAATTGTCACCATTAATGAGAAGTCGATCTTCTTCAGGAGCCAGCGTCGTCCAGATCAGTAGTTGTCACCAGTTGAGCAAGTCACATCAGCACCGAGACCAAATGGATTTACGCCAAAAGCAATGTTGATCATTTTCTGGAACCGAAGTGAGCCGATTCACTGAGACTTGTTGCAAGCCGGTTAGATCATCAGTGTTGAGCAATATTGTCAGCAACTGGAGCTTGCAATCAAGTAATTCCACGACACCGTCGCCGCCAAGTCATCTTGCTTCAAGGCAATGCAAAGCAACACGCTGCCAAGAAACAAGAAAGAAGTTGACCGATTTGGGCTAGGAGCACTTGGATTATCCGCCGTAATTGCCAGATCTGTCTCCCTCCGATTTTCATCTCTTCAGATCATTGGAGCACTGATTGGACAAGAAGAAGCGTTTCGAGATATCAATCATTTGCGTCGAGAATTGACTGACTAGTGTGCATCAAAGAATATTGAGTTCTATGAGCGCGGAATTGATTTGTTATCGGAGCGTTGGCAGAATTGTATCCAGACAGATGGAGAATACTTTAGTTCATGTTATTTGATGCTTTCGATTACTTGGAAAAATAAATTTTTTATTTTTGAGTCAAGTTCGGAAATTTAGTTGGAGACCTAATGACACAAAAATCCTCTCAAAGAATAGACAACACATCCTTTTTGATAAATAGCCACTATAACTTGAGTGCAAAACTAACGGCAATCTATTTTGCGCAAAAATTAGCTAAAATATGTAACTATAGGTTGCACTTAGCCTTCTACTGTGCTACTGACTTAAGAATATTTCAAGCAATGAACAGTATTGTATGCAGAAGTTCGAAAATAAGACGCACTACTCCATAAAAAATGGTACGAAATTGTTTGCACATCGCAACACTGCAATAGACTATCTTGACGAAGAATCGAAGTTGGCCCACATAGATTTATATGTTGATCAAGCAAGATTATTTTCTCATGGAGTTTTAAGTCATCAAGATTTTTTGTGAAAGTATTCCTGTTAAGATTTCAGTAACTCATCAACAAAAACGTCAATCACTTTTGGTTTGTGAGGAATTTCGACACCTTACGTTCATATCTTTTCTTATCAAGGTGGTGTTGAACTGTCACAGTTCCTTGTCTCAAACCGAACATCCGGGTAGAAATGGGGTACCTCGCTCCAGATAACGGTAATAATCTCATTTATCTGACGCTTAAAACCACTCATCGATATGCAGAAAAACGGCAATTATAATGGTAGTCAAATATTACAAAGTGATGCATTCCATCGACATTGTAGTACCAACGTTTTATATCTCCTCATAAATGCTCCGTTTCAACAAATTTCGGGCCACTTTAATCACTTCAGTGTTCATAGTGCGGAATAGTTGGATACGTGGATATTGAAAAGCTCAGATGCCAAAAAAAGCGATAGAGCAAGCCATGTTTCATAATTGAACCCCAACTCCTGAAGTAAGTGAGTAAGCAAAGAAACTGTTGAGAGTTGTTGATTAGCTGATACCTGTAAAGCTGGATGTCTGTTTTGACTAATTATTTATTGTTTTCTAATTTTTAAACACTATGACGAATTTTGGGTATTGTACGGAATAAGGTGGTATTGAACTTTAGAAATTTATGTCGAATGATTGATTTTGAAAATAAGAATTCATTGATGTAAATGATTACTAATCCATTGAGAACTGCACATATGAGGAAATAAGCACTGTCCACCAAGTCACGAGTTCTCTCGACTCACGCTCGATAGCACAGAAAGAAGAAATTGAGCGCAAATTGAAAGTTCTTTGACTTTCATTTGCTGCTTGCTCTTTGCTCGTAGTAGCCATCATGTAAATCTCGTCTATAATATCTATAAGGATGCAGATAGGTAAAGTTTGTAAGCTCCAGTGAACTTTGAATCAGCAAAAAAATTACGAAATCAGGTCTTGGGCATTTTGTCACCTATTCGTTCTAGCAAATTCAGGTCCAGTAAATTCTTCTAATGTTGTCGCGGCCGTTGTACTTGGGTTCCTAGCGTTGAAGCAAAGACTAGATTTACATTATGCTAGAGAAAATGCAACGCTGTCCTCTTCTTTTAGGCATGGGTTTTCCGAAGTGATCAACAGTGATCCAGCGATTGCATTGCTAAAATGATGTTGCAAGTGTTCGTATAGTTTTGTTCAAGTTATGCCACTAACGGCTGCGAGAAAACACATGCAACAGTTGTTTGATTATCACAAGTATTAGTGGAGCAGCCGACAGAACTTATTGTCGAATGTATCAACTGAACATTAAACGGCTTGCAGTCGTATTGATGACATAGAGGCTACAAGAGAGAACGTGCTACGACTTCACCATCGAGCCCACATCTGCTATCTCTTTTGCATCGTATCTGTTGACTGCCAACTTCTGACGGATTGGCGGACAAAGTCCACCGCTTGACGACCTTTCTTTCTTGCCCAGCTGAGGTGGTAGCTTTCTTATTAGTATTACGTATATCATCATGTGCTTCAAGGACAACCGATGGACGAGAGCAGTTACTGACTGGATTTCTCGGGATATCAAGCGCTCTACAGGAAGACCAACTACGCGATGGTCCGATTTCTTCACGAAAAGACTGGAAGAAAGATATGATGCTCAAACGAATTCCTGAAGCAAGGAGGACCCACTGGGCTACTCTTGAACGCGATAGGGAAAAATGGAAGTGTTGGTGGTGCCTACTCGAGTCACGCCAATGTCATAGACGAGAAAGATTTGAATTAGGAATTCTAGTTGCGCCGATAATCGACTCCATCTTAAAACTCACAAAGCATAATTTAATTGGCACGAAGCCACAACTGGTGTTGGAATTTGAAGCATAGTTGCACATTGAGCACTCTGCTACCGCCTCCAGATAGCAACACCATCTCTGAAACGTCAGCATGTCAGAATTTCGCTCTTGTTAATTACAAAATTGGTTTCTTTGTCGGTGCAACATAAAAGCTGTTAATTGTTTGAATCACACCGATTCGCTGTGGAAAGAGCGAAATGTAAGTGATGTTTTTCCACGAATAAAAACCAAACCATTCTCTATATAATGTGATGGGAAATATAGAACATCATATCGTTGCTAGTAATGAGGATTCGCACCGTTGAATATACATCTGTGTAAAGCAGTCAATGTAATTGTTCAATTCAGCATTACTAATGATATAGCTATAATATTGTACCAATGTTGAAAAGTAATTTAATAAAGAATTGTTGGCGACTGCAATACGGGA